GGGAGAAATAATTTCAACAGAGACAGATGAACCAGCAGGTTCCCACCCCAAGGCTGCCTCCAGATGCCCTCTTCCCTGTCCAGCAAGAGAGCGCTCCGGGGTCCTTACCTTAGACTTAGTTCCCCGAGGTCATGTCTGCCCCTGTCCCCACCCCCATGGGCGTGGTCAGTGCCACAGGTGAGGACAGAGTGAATATCTCACTACATAGACACACACACACGCTCACACACTCACACACACTCATACACACTCATATGTACTCATTCACACACACATACACACACTCACAACGCTCATACACACTCACACACATTCATATACACATACATACACATACTCATACACACACACTCACACACTCATACACACTCATTCACACACACTCATACACACTCACACACATTCATATACACATACATACATACACATACTCATTCACACACGCTCATATATACATACACACATACTCATATACACGCTCACTCATACACACTCATACACACACATTCACACACACTTATACACAAACTCACACACACTCATACACACACATTCATATACACATATATACACATATACACACTCACACACACTCATATATACATACACACATACACACACTCATACACACTTATACACACACACACACATACTCATACACACACTCACACACTTATACACACTCATTCACACTCATACACACACATTCACACACACACACTCATACACACACGCTCATATATACATACACACACACTCATATACACGCTCACTCATACACACTCATACACACACTCACACACTCATGCACACTCATATGTACTCATTCACACACACACTCACAACGCTCATACACACTCATACACATTCATATACACATACATACACATACTCATTCACACACACGCTCACACACTCATACACACATTCATATACACATGCATACACATACACACACGCTCACACACTCATACACACACATTCACACACACTCATACACACACACATTCATATACACATGCATACACATACACACACGCTCACACACTCATACACACATACACACATACACACTCATACACACTTATACACACATACACACACTCACACACTTATACACACTCATACACACACTCATACATACACACTTTGTGTGTATGAGTGTGTGTATGTATGTGCATCCCTTCCCAAATAAACACATGTAAAACAAAAGTGTTACCAGTTCCTATTTTCAAATTAGTATCAGCAGAAACACTGCTTAGGACAGCAGCCTCATGTACTAATTTAAAATAATTCTCATTTACTTATTCAGCTTTTTTTTAAGCACTCCTTACTCAGAGTTGTAAAAATTGAATTTTATTTGTTAGAAAGTAAATTTTGTGTGTGTGGGGGGGTGAATAATTTTTAATAAGTCACTGATTCAGACTTTGCACCAGGCGTTTGGCATGACTTGCAGATGATATGCGATCACAGTGGTGATAAGTCAGAGAGAGCCAAGAGCCAAGGGAGGATTCAGTACAGAGCAGACATCAGCAAGAAGTTACAGTAGATGGTGCTGATAAACATGATGAACATCTCTTCAGCCCAGCGATTCCTTTGTTGGTGTCAGGAAAGGATCGAGAGGGTGAAAAGATTGGGGGGGGAGGGGGAAGAAGAGCTATCAGGGAGATGCGGGTGCAGTGATGTCAGACTTCTGTCAGTCAGGGAGGTGCGGGTGCAGTGATGTCAGACTTCTGTCAGTCAGGGAGATGCGGGTGCAGTGATGTCAGACTTCTGTCAGTCAGGGAGATGCGGGTGCAGTGATGTCAGACTTCTGTCTGTCAGGGAGATGCGGGTGCAGTGATGTCAGACTTCTGTCTGTCAGGGAGATGCAGGGTGCAGTGATGTCAGACTCTGCAGGGAGAGCAGGGGCAGGAGCAGACCGTCAGTCAGGGGGTGCGGGGGCAGTGACAGACCGCAGCAGGGAGGGCGGGGCAGGATTTCAGACCGTCAGTCAGGAGATGCGGGGCAGGATGCAGACTCTGTCAGGGAGATGCGGGTGCAGTGATTTCAGACTTCTGTCAGTCAGGGAGGTGCGGGGGCAGTGATGTCAGACTTCTGTCAGGGAGATGCGGGTGCAGTGATGTCAGACTTCTGTCAGTCAGGGAGATGCGGGTGCAGTGATGTCAGACTTCTGTCTGTCAGGGAGATGCGGGTGCAGTGATGTCAGACTTCTGTCTGTCAGGGAGATGCAGGGTGCAGTGATGTCAGACTTCTGTCAGGGAGATGCAGGGTGCAGTGATGTCAGACTCTGTCAGTCAGGGAGGTGCGGGGGCAGTGATTTCAGACTTCTGTCAGTCAGGGAGGTGCGGGTGCAGTGATGTCAGACTTCTGTCAGGGAGATGCGGGTGCAGTGATGTCAGACTTCTGTCAGTCAGGGAGGTGCGGGGGCAGTGATTTCAGACTTCTGTCAGTCAGGGAGGTGCGGGTGCAGTGATGTCAGACTTCTGTCAGTCAGGGAGGTGCGGGGGCAGTGATTTCAGACTTCTGTCAGTCAGGGAGGTGCGGGTGCAGTGATGTCAGACTTCTGTCAGTCAGGGAGATGCGGGGTGCAGTGATGTCAGACTTCTGTCTGTCAGGGAGATGCGGGTGCAGTGATGTCAGACTTCTGTCAGTCAGGGAGATGCGGGGTGCAGTGATGTCAGACTTCTGTCAGGGAGAGCAGGGTGCAGTGATGCAGACTCTGCAGCAGGGAGGTGCGGGGGCAGTGATTTCAGACTCTGTCAGTCAGGGAGGTGCGGGTGCAGTGATTTCAGACTCTGTCAGTCAGGGAGGTGCGGGTGCAGTGATGTCAGACTTCTGTCAGTCAGGGAGGTGCGGGGGCAGTGATGTCAGACTTCTGTCAGTCAGGGAGGTGCGGGTGCAGTGATGTCAGACTTCTGTCAGTCAGGGAGATGCGGGTGCAGTGATGTCAGACTTCTGTCAGTCAGGGAGGTGCGGGTGCAGTGATGTCAGACTTCTGTCAGTCAGGGAGGTGCGGGTGCAGTGATGTCAGACTTCTGGGCTGACAGGCCCTGAATGAAAGGAAGAACCCTGAAAGGCTGCCGCGTACACGGGCGTAAAGGGGCTGACGAGAGGGTGCTGTGAGCATAGGCGCACACGGATGAGCCAGCGACTTAGAAAGTTGTATTAATAATTTATTTGTCCTTACTGTCTTAAGTAAATGACATACCAGGAGGGAGTGCTTTGAGTTGTAGGATTAATTAGGCCACAGATGGCTTAGGTGTAGACTTGACCAAAGATTAAGAGCAAGGTATAGTGGATCAAAGGCCAGGACAATGTATTCAGAATGAGTTGAAGACTGGCTGTCGTATGCAGACCAAATAGAGAAAACTTGATTTAGAACTTATTTTGGCTGTCTGTCACAGAGGAGAGCATGTGACTTTAAAACCTGATGTCTGCCTACGAAGCACTTGTTAGAGTACAGGTGTAGATCATAATGCTTGTGTGGGTCAGCTGGTGCCCTGGCCGGTGCCCTGCACAGAGGGGGCTGCTTTCCTTCGTCAGCAGCAGGGGCAGGGTGTGAGTAGGGAGCTGTGCACCTGATTCTGGAACACAGTTCTGAAACAGCTGAGGTGGAGGGCTCCACTGCTAAACTGTAGTGGTTGGCACGTGGTGCATTTCCCGCCCCAGAAAGATCAGCTCCGTAATGTGCTAAAGAAATCTTTCCTCACTAGCAGCCCATTGGAAATGACCAGACCCCTGAACGCCCAAGAGGCAGTAAGTTCTTTAAAGCAAGGTCCCTGAACACCGTAGTGCAGGCGCAGTGACCTCAGCAGTCACTTTCTGTGACCCAGTCTCAGAAAGGGGGTTCTGTGAATGCATTAACAGCTACACCGGTTTTTGTGAGGTGTAAGGTGTTGAAGGGGTTTTGACTTTTACCCCCGGCAGTGTCTTCAGTTAAAGTTTATTACCGCCCCAGCTTTAAGAGCGCATAGTCTAATCGGCAGGGCTCTGCCTCGGGGGCTCTAGGGGCTATGGAGCAGGTGAGGGGAGAGTTGCTGGCCGAGGATTCTTGAGATTCCACTAAGAGGCAGCCATTACTTTCTTCACCTGTGGCCAGGCTGGCCACACATACAGCCCTCCCCTGATTGGACATGTTGACTGCGCTCTAAAACTGTGTGTGTAAGGTGAGGTAGAGAAGTCGAGGGTGTCTCACGGGGGGGGGGGGGGGGGGGGACCTGGTCCCCAGCCCTCCACCTCCCTCTCACCCAGGCGTCTGTGTAGACTGCAGGCCCAGAGCAGCAAATGCTAGCGGTACGTTCTGTATCTGTGTCTCTCAGGACACGGTGCGGTGGCGAACCTGGGAAGTTGTTCTGCTCACCACACACAGACTGACCATGGCAACAGTCCACAGCGTGTTCATAGAAATACTTTAACTCCATTTTGTAAAGCTGTGAAAAATAGGGTGGGACCACCTGATATTACCCTGGGGAGAGAGGAGCCCACGTATTTGTTTGGTCTCTTAGTAGGACTATTTGAAGGAGTTTCTTTTGAGTCTTCCAGAAGGCAGACCTTGGAGACTGTAAGGCTAAAGTACTTTTTTCGTATGATGGATGTCTTTAACCCAAAGGGATGCAGAGAAAAATGGAGACTGGTAGATTTTAAACATGGTTGTATGAGGAAGGTTTTGTTTGAGTGGGCTACCGATGTCTTTTGGGATCTGTCACTGCAGGACTGTTACTTCACACAGACACTCATGCACACACGCGCACACACACACACACACAGACACACACGCACTCACACGCACGCACGCGCACATACATATACACACACACACTCACACAGCTCTTGGCTATGCTGAGGCCCTGTCATCAGTGCCTACAGTCTGCCTGGTGCTTTTGGTGGTTTAGAATCAGCTGTTTTAAAAGGGGAATTAGAATAAAGTAGCACTTGCTTTTGTTTTTGTTCAAAGTTGCCTGCTTATTGTTTTATCACCCTGTTTTTCTCTTTTTCAGATGATTGCTGGAGAGAGTCTGTCTGTCTACTTTAGCACCTTGCAGTCGAATTCCTTTGTGGGCAATCACTATATAGCCACTATTTACAAAGCCATCGGAACCTTCTTGTTTGGAGCCGCAGCTAGCCAGTCCCTGACTGACATTGCCAAGTACTCTATAGGCAGACTCCGCCCTCACTTCTTGGCTGTTTGTGACCTAGATTGGTCAAAGATCAACTGCAGTGATGGCTACATTGAGACCTACGTGTGTCGAGGGAATGCAGAAAAGGTCAAGGAAGGCAGGTGAGTGCGGGGCTCTGACTCCATTGGCTACCAGGTTTTGATGGTAAGAGGAGCTACAGCAAGCGTGGAGCGAGGGAACGGTGAAGCGCCCTCAGCCTTAGTTCTCCATCCTTGTTTACTGTTTACCTATGGTGTGTTTTGTTCACTTAGGTGTGTTTTACTGAAACTTTCTGTTACCTATGAGGATGTGAAATGAACCTGGGTCATTTACTTCATGGTCAGTAAACTTTCCCTTCAAAGGCTGGAGATGTGGCTCAGTGGCCAAACATTTCTTCACTTACAGTAGGGTTATGTCTTGACAGGGTCATTGTGAGCTAAAAGTGTCTTAAATAAAACATGTATGCATTGTACCTATCCAGCCTAAGCATCTGTTGCACAGTGACACATGTTAGACTCAGTAGAGTTGGCTTTCCTTGGTGGTCATGTGACCGACTGGTAGGTGTGGCCAACTACCAGTGCCTAAACCCAGAGTGCTGTTCCCGTATTGTATCCTGGAAAGATTGAAAGTTCTTTCTACTGCGACTGTTACTTTCATACTGCAGTGAAGGGACACGAAGTTGTACGTTAACAGTCTCTATTCACTACTGAACGGCATTTAAATGAGCTTTACTGGCATATCCTTTGTTTGCATGGAATCTGTCCCCTGTTCATGTTTTCTGGGGTGCTGCATGTGAGGACTGCACCAGAGCTGCCTTCACTTGTTGGGTTCATGGTTCATCCATGTTGTTCTGGGAGATTTATGTTGTTTCTAATTCGGTGCTATGAAAAATAAAGCTTTAGCTGGGCATAGTGGCAGGTGGATCTCTGGGAGTTCAAGGCCAGCCTTGTCTACAGAGAGGTCTAAGACAGGCTCCAAAGCTACGGAGAAACCCTGTCTCAAAAAACCAAGGTAAATAAATAAATAAAATGATATAACTACATAGAGTATGTAGTTTCCAGAATTATTGATAAATCCATTTTTAGAGGGAGGGGTCGAGACAGGGCAGCTCTTGCTGTTGTAGGATGGATCTGTAGATCAGGCTGGCCTTAAATTCAGAGATCTGCCTGCGTCTGCCTCCTGAGTGCTGGGATTAAAGGTGTGTGCCACCACTGCCCAGCCAAATCCATCTTTTTATTTTAAATTTTATTAGCACTTTTGTTGAATGTGGGTGTCTCATTCACCTGTGTGCCTTTATTTCTCTGTCAGGGTTAAACTGCAGCTTTGTAGTAATTAGGTCCCTTTGTTCATCTCAAAGTTTCCCGGTCTGTTGCTGGTCTTTTGTGTCATGCTTGCTAGAATTTACATTGAGATTGTTTCAGATCTTCACTTGTTGACTTGTAATCTTTTAAATATTCTTATTTATTTTTTGACTGAGTGTTTCTCCTACATGCATGGTGTCTACAGAGGCTGGAGGAGGGTGTCAGATCACTTGGAACTGGAGTTACAGACGTTGTGAGCGTTCATGGGGGTGCTGGGACTCGAACCTGGGTCAACTGAAAGAGCAGCTGGTGCTCTTAACCGCTGAGCCACCTCCCCAGCCCTCATAGCTTTCAGTCTTCAACACAGGGCCCCCTATTCCTGCTGGTGTTTACTGAAGTCTCCTCTAGTTCCCAGTGACTGTTTCCTTTTCCATCTCTTACCACTTCTGATATCTGGAGCCAAGGAGATGTCACAATCAACAACAGTCTAGGCCTGGGCGTGGCTCGGAGTCAAACTCTAGTCCAGCGTGCACAGGTCCTGGTTTGATGGCAAGCACCAAACAGACGGAGAACAAAGGGAGGAAGGCGTCGGCTTCTGGGAATGATGACGCGTCTTTTCTTCTCTCCTAGGTTGTCCTTCTACTCCGGCCACTCTTCATTCTCCATGTACTGCATGCTGTTTACAGCAGTAAGTACTTCTGTCGGCGGGGGCGGGGCCAGCTACTGCACACATGTGTCTTCCCGTCTTCCCGTGTGGCGTGAGGCAAAAGTAACCCAGCAGGAAGCTTGCCCCTGTCCTGTGTGCCACTTTTGGGGAGAGTCACATCCTATGACCTAGGACACGGGAGGGGGGGCCCTGGGCCAGCCCCAGCTATGCAAGGCAGTCTCTGGTGTGAGTGCTGAATGGAGGACTTAAGTCAGAGCTTCCTTTTAAGACACACTCAAATCTTTCTGTAGTATGCCATGCAGGGGTGACTCATTCCAGGGTAGCTAGCGAACAGCACACGCACCCCATCATCCTCTGTTGATCTTACTTGGAAAAATGAGCATTTGTTCCAAAGGAACTGAACTGTGTTGTTTTCTGATGAGGATACCGAGGAAGCTGGGCAGTCAGAGCCAGGCACCCACTGCAGGACTTTGTCCGAAGCACAAGGCTGTGGGCTGCTGTGGGCTACGCTCACCGGCTTTCCAAGGGTTCAGCCAGATCTACTTGGTGTGATTTCTTTTTCACTACCTTGGTGTCCCTGTCCTTGAAAGGGATCCAGGGTTCTGTTTTGGTTGCTATCAATGATTTGTATTTTACACTTTAAAACAAACAAACAAAAAAACTCTAAATTTCCATGTAGAAAAAAAATGTGGAGTGACTGCTACTCTGATGGGGCTGTGCTCTGTGAGCTTTGACAGTCGAGGACACCTGCATTTGATTAGCTGAAGCTTGGCGGCCACAGATGGGCTTACTCTAGAGAAGGCCTCTGTGGAGGGAGAAAGGGCGGCTCGTCCTATGGGTGTGTGGATCCCTTGAGAGGGCAACTTCTTCTCTTCCCAACCATAACATGCTAACTGGGTCAGTGTGAGGCATTTTGGTGTAAGGTGCCTGCCTGCCTGCCAGGACGACTACCTTAGTTCCAATCCCAGCACCCATGTAAAAGGCTGGGCGTGGGGTGGTGGCACGTGCTGTAAAGGGGGAGGCAGACAGGACAGTCTCTGGAGATGTCTGGTTAGCAATCTAGCTGAACTGGTGAGCCCAGCTTCAGTGAGAACCCTGACTCAAAAACTACGGCTGGAAAGATGGCTCAGCCGTTACTGAATGTTCTTCCAGAGGACTCCGGTTTAATTCCCAGCACGTATGCAGTGGCTCCAAACTGTAACTCTAGTCCCAGGAGACTCACGCCATATTTGGGACTCCAGGGGCACCAGGCATGCAGACTCACACGCAGGTAAACACACACACACACACACGCGCGCGCCAGTGGGAAGCATCAGAGGAAAGCAACACGAGACCTCTGGCTTCAATATGGCATTTACATACATGTACCCAAATTCTTAAACTCACATATGTGCACTTAACCTGTAAACAAACATACACAACAAAGAGAAAAAGTCTACACAGGTGTGTTATAAGCCAAGGCATTTCTGGAGAAAAGCAATCATGCTGTTTCAGTGACTTGACACAGGAGGAACATTTACTTGATTGCCATGTAGGCTTAGCTTTGACTTCAGCCGTGAACAGTGTCTCCTAGCTTTCCTATTTATATGCAGCACAACCTCCCCTGGCCCACATTCCTGAGGTGGTGACTCTGGGCATTTTGGCATTATAGGTCAGTCCCAGGTTTGGGTGGAGATAGTCATTTCAAGTCTGAAGATTCTTGACACTTATAAATTAACTTCTAGTCACAAATTTCTCCTCAGTATGCACGTCCTTTGACTATTGTTGCGCCCTGGCGGGCAGCCCAGACCTGAGCTCGGTGTCGGGCAGGAGGTGCCAGAGCTGGAGGGCACCACACAGCCCTGCACTTGCAGTCACTCCCTTGGATCTGGTTGGCTGCCAAAACTCACCAATTTGTGTGACTGTCTGAGTAGCCATGGGAAAGGACGGTGGGAAATGTATCAGGTTTTCCATGGATCCATCCTGCTGAGGGTTATTTATATGATGGCCCATAACAAAATCTGCCACACCTTCTTTCCTGCCAGCCTCGCCCTCAGGTGTGGACACTGCCTATTTAAACCTTTATTCCTTCACACCCTCCTTCCTTGAAATTTGTTGTCATTGAGCACTGACCCTGTAGACTCCACTTTATTTCTTGAAGATGTTTCACACTGGAGGAGCAGGGAGCAGGGGATGGATTCATGGCTCAAAGGCGGATGTGAATTAGGGTCTCCAGGAATGGCAGAGATGCCCAGAGAAGCTGAACTAATGCCTGTTTACACGTTTCTCTTCAGCAGATTCATTCTCAAATGTAGGTGCAAGAGTCACTGTAGCTTGTTGGGCGAGTATTTGTGTTGAGCATGCTGTTACTGTTGTTCAGGGCTTGGGGATGTCTTACACAAATATTAACTTTATTTTTCCATTCAAAAATAGCCCTCCCCTTTGTGGTGTTGGGGTCAAACCCAGCCCCATTGCATGCACATATTAGTCAAGCTATACATCCTGAGCTCCCAAATAACTGACCCCTTGACTCCAGTTTACAATGGGAAGTGGGAAACCTACCTGTGAGACAGTAATAATATTGACAAGGTCAGGCTTTGGGCGAAACAAATAAACCAGCTATAAAAGTGTTTTGCTTAACAGCCTATTTCCAGGTGAGATTATTATATCATTTCATGGAAACTAAATATAATTTCAGAGCTTGTACCTCAGACAGTCTATACCCTGCTCTGAACAGATCAGAGCCCTGAGGAACAGTCGTCTGAAAGCAGGAGCAGCATGGTTGGTCAGCTTCTGGTGGAGACCCTCCTCCTGGCTGCACACTACTGACTCCTGCTGCAGCCTTTACACCGTGCAAGCAATGGTACTGAGCGTTTGGGCCCCATCCAAGAGCAATGGGACCGTTTATGGAGGCTTTGCCTCCATGACCTAATTAGCCTGCTAAAGGCTAATCACCTCTGTGGATGTTAGGATCTGAGGGCGCATTCCTTGGTAATGCAGGCCTGGGGAAGGTACCCACACTGCCTCAATGTTTAAATAGTATGAAGATCCCCTTACACTGTCAGCGTGAGTCTGGAAGGCCTCTACACTCTTGCCCGTGGGTGGACTGGTCAGCTTCTTCCACCCTCTTCTCTAGACACAACCCTGGTTGGTCAAGGCCTCTCCTAAGGTTAGGATAAGAAGCTACCTGCATTAAAAAAAAAAAAAAAAAAACCTGTGATGTCACAGATAAGAAGCTTGTATTTCAAGTGTCTGCACAAAGCTTGACTCCGTCCTTTCCTCCAACTTGACAGACACTTGGCCCTGCAGTGAACAGCAAGGTTCACCAGGACTTTCTTGAATCCTACCTCGAGTGGCTTGGTAGCACAGAACTGCTTTCTTGGACACAAACCCACAACTGAAACATTTTCACAGGGCCGTTGGCCCTGTTTCTAGAAGATTCTGGTTGATTACTAGGGCCAATTCTTTTCTGTCTGGTTTCTAAAATTTGGCTGGGTTGAGAACCAGTGACCCAGAGTGATAGAGAAATGGCTCAGTTTCCTTGTGAAACTTACAGCTTGGGTGGCATCCATTATCACAGCCTTCTGTGGTTTGTTTGTAGACGAAAATTCAGGGAGGGAGAAATGTCCAGTGTGGTGAAGTTTTGTTTGTTTTTGGCCTTCACTTTGAACCATCTCCTAGAAATCCCTATCTCATTGGAGTTCTAGAATGTTCCTGTGAGAACAGGGATGACAGAGAGCCAGGGTCTGGTGACCCTTCCATTCTGTTACTATAAAATTACTGATGTAGAACACCGAGAGGCCAGACGCCTGTCCTGGTTAGGGAAGTCAATGTTTGCCAATGGGGACAGCAGTGTGGGTGGACAATGAGAAAAAAGAAAGGCGGCTACTTGGAGGAGAAGTTTTAGTGTGCAAGAACTTACTTCTCTACTGACCCATAGGGAATGTTCTTTCCCTTGGGAACTGAGGAGTAAAATTCTGTAGAAATACTTACCTTGCCTGCAGGGAGCTGGGAGCAGAGGATGTTCTTCCCAGTCCTGTGCCTTGGTTCTCCCTCTAATCAAGATTCACAGATCTTCCTGAGTCCATAGAGGTGTTGTGTGCCCACCCTCCCAGCAGAGCTGGGTGAAGTTCTTCCTAAGATACCTTTATTCGCAAGTATTTGTCATTCTTAGATAGTCTGTCTGAAAAGGAAAGGCCTGCTGCTGACAGGTGTTTTGTTCACAGTACCCAGAACATGTCTTCAGATGTATCTCTAAAATGAACGTTAAAATTAAGGTGGAATAACGTTTGAGACACATAGCTGGTATGGTATTTTATAACTACGTTTACACCATGCACTTGCTATGCTGTGCAAGTCCTTTTGAGGACAGTAAATGACTAAACAGATCGTTTTTATGTCAGTGCCTGTGTGCTTGTGGAGGCTGGAGGACCTCAGGTGTCCTTTGAGCCAGGGTCTCTCATGGCCAGGAGTCCACCAGTAAGGTAGACCAGCTGGCCGAGGACCCTCCTCTGCTGTCTCTGTATCCCCAGCACTGACATTACAAATGCAAGCCATCTTAACATGGCTTTTCCATGCCAGTTCTAGGGGGCCCAACTGTGCTCTGAACGCTTCCAAAGCAATCCTTGCACAAACTATCTTAGGGTTACTGGTTGCTGTGTTAAAACACCTTGGGCACAGCAACTTGGGGAGGAAAGAGTTTGTTTGACTTACTGGACAGGAACTCAAACCCGGCAGGAACATGGAGGCAGGAGCCAATGCAGAGTGTAGAAGGTGCTACTTACTGGCTTGTTCCCCATGGCTTGCACAGCCTCCTTTCTTATAGAACCGAGGGTCACCAGCCCAGGATGATAGCACTACGCTGGGCCCTCCCCCATCAATCAGTGATTAAGAGGATGCCCTACAGGCTAGCCTACAGCCTGATCTTATGGAGCTGTTGTCTCAGTTGAGGCTCTTCCTCTGTAATGACTGGCTCTGGCTTGTGTTGATATGAGACAGGGGTCTCTCTGTGTAGCCTTGGCTCTCCTGGAATTCTGTGGCCACAAACTCCTGTTTCTGCTTCCCCGTGGTGGGATTAAAGGCATGCACTACAGCCCAACGTTTGCAGGTTTTTTTAATGTTCAAAATTACCTTTATCTTTAGGCATGTGTGTAGGTGTGTTAGTGGCAAATAGGGTCTTATATCCTGGAACTTTCCATCTTCCTGAGTGCAATGATTACAGGGGTACACTATTGCCACCTTTAACTGACTAAAAGCCGTGTTTTTTTTTTTTTTTTTTTAATAGTAATAGGCTTCTACATAAAAAATTCCAGGTATTTATGTGCTAGAAACATGGGAAACATCAAGTATAGAAAATGGTGGCAGGCTAAGGGAGGGTACATTTCTTTGGTGGTCCTGACTACATTATAAACCCACACTACTTACTTGGCAGATTGTTATATATTTACTTCTGGTCTTAGTTGCTGTTGTTTGAGGATAGCAAAACTCTTAATTCTTGCTGAATTATAACAGTTTATCCCAAGACTAGAAACAAATAACAACACTATACTAACATTTTAACTCAGATTACAAGGGAAGGAAGAACTACCTGGAAACCCTGGCTGGTGTCACAGTGAAGCCCTGCTCCACATTTTGAAGAGCTTGGGATAGCTTCTAAATACAAGTCCTGGGGGTATGTGTGCGCGGGCGTGTGTGTGCGCGTGCCTGTGCGCACCTGCTGTAAACTAGTAACAGACAATTTTGCCTAAGGTTCTATTTCATAGGTAAATATTTGGATAATCTGCACGCCAGCACTTTAGAGGTGTGGTGACACTCATGTTTTCGGCTGGCTGGCTTGTTAAATGAACTCTTCCCCCCCCTCTCTCTCCTGTCAGCTTTATCTTCAAGCCAGGATGAAGGGAGACTGGGCAAGACTCTTACGCCCCACACTGCAATTTGGCCTTGTTGCTCTGTCCATATATGTGGGCCTTTCTCGAGTTTCTGATTACAAACATCACTGGAGTGATGTGGCGGTTGGATTCATGCAGGGAGCTGTGGTCGCAATACTCGTTGTAAGTATATAGAACAGCAGCCTGCATGCGGACACTGCTAAACATTTTGAAAAATCCCCAGTGAGAAACCTGACAAGGTAGAAAATGTAACTCAAAAATCCCAAGAATGACATTTTTGTTTCTTTCAGTGGAACTCACTCTATAGTCCTGGCTGGTCTTGACCTCAGAGATCCACCTGCGTCTGACTGCCTAGTGCTGGGATTAAAGGCATGAGATAACATGCCTTGTAAAGAATCCCAGTGTTAATAAAATCTTTTGCTGGACAGGTCAGATAGATTAAAAATTAGGTCACTTCTAGGTAAATGTCAACTCCTTAGTGTTTCTATTGTTAAAGTCTATGATTATAGTAAATGTTTCTTTTTTTGCATGAATTGAAAACTAAAACTAATCCACTTTAAAAAAAAAAACTCATTAAGTGTTGGCTGAATGAAGCTACTTACTAAAGGCATACTAAAAAGGAACTACAGAGGAAGAATTTTCTTTAGCCACCTTTTTTCTTTTTCTCTTCTTATTTTTTTTTGAGACAGTAACTCACTGTGTAGCTGTGGCAGGCCTGAAACTCCAGAGGCACACCTGCTTCTCCAAGGCATCCACCAGTGTAGCCAATTACTTTATGACTTTTAGTTGCTTATGTAAATTATAGCATTAAATATTCTGTCCTGTCTGTATAGGCTGTGTACGTGTCGGACTTCTTCAAGGACAGAAATCGTTACAAAGAAAGAAAAGAGGATGACTCCCACACCACTCTACACGAAACCACCACTGCACACACCTACTCAAGCAGCCACCAGCCCTGAAGGGTGTGCGGAACCGGCCAGCTTTCTAAAGGAACCGGTTGGAAGCAGAGGGCAGGAGGAAGGAGGACACACATTGCTCTCTGGTGTATAGGCCATCACAGGACTGCTGCTATTATACCTCTAGGATACACTCACTTTACCTGTGTATATAGTTAACATTTAACACAATAAGTATCTAATAGTTTGATTGAAAAAAAATTGAAGCTTTCCACTAAAAACACTGCCCCACCTGAACATTTTTTAATCCAAAGATGCTATGTACAAATGTGTATGTTACATGCCTTCTTAGAATGAGATCTGATTTAAATGTAATAAAATGCTTAGAACAACTTTTGAGGTGGAAAAACCACTTGAACACTTGTAAGCACTTGTTGTCAACTGTTGAGCTCTATAAGTAGAGGCTGGCAGCAAACACAATGTCCCTCTTGATTTTGGTGATTCCTACGGGAAAAGAAAATAATGCTTAAACTTTCAAGACCATGAAGCATGGTGTTTCTTGTACTAGGACTTTACAGCTCAGTCCTGACTAAAGACTTCAGAGAAGCTGGAGAAAAGGGGCCCTCCATGTGTGTCTCCAGGAAGGGAAAATAGCTAAGATCTCTGGGTAACCGAGGGGGACAGGGGACAGAACAAGACGGGAGGGTGGAGGGGGATATCTTGATAGAAGGAGCTATTGTGGGGTTATTAGGGAGAAACAGGGTGCTAGAGAAAGTCTCAGGGATCCATAAGGATGGCCCGGCTAAGACTCCTATCAGTAGTGCAGAGGGTGCCTGAAGGGGCCTTTGCCTTCAGATTGGTGACTACCTTAACTGTCACCATAGAATTCGTTCTATGGTGAATGAACCTACATCCAATAACTGATGGAAGCAGATGCAGTGACCCACAGCCAAGCACTGGGCTGAGCTCCTGGAGTTCAGCCAAAGGGAGGGGGGAGGGGTCCAGGGGGTCCATCATCTGCACAAGGGGGGGAAACCTCAGAGATAGCTGATCTCAACTAGGACTGACAGCTGGGGAACGCAATAGGCCCTCTGAATGTGGGTGACAGTTATGTGACTTGGGGGGGGGGGACGACACTGGCAGCGGCACCAACATCTATCCCAAGTTCCATGAACTGGCTTTTTGGAGTCCATTCCGTATGATGAAATACTGTGGTGCTCAGCTTTGATATGGGGGGGGGGGGGTTAGACCTGTCTCAACTTGGTGTGCCAGACTTTGCTGACTCCCCAAAGGCCTCACCTGCCTCTGAGGAGTGTTTGGGGGATGAGAAGGGGAGGGAGGGGAAATTGGGGTTCATATGCAATATTTCAAAAAAAAAAAAAAAAAAAAATTCAGAGTCACCTGAAGAACCTTAGGGACAGTCAGTCCTAGCTCCCGCCTCCATCCCACGAGGCAAAGTTTCTATCCTGGAACTTGTTCTGTAGACCAGGCTGGCCTTGAACTCACAGAGATCTGCCTGCCTCTACCTCTGCCTCCTAAGCGCTAGAACTAAAGGTATGTGCCACCAACACCAGGCTAGTCCTAGCTCTTTTGATTGGCAACTATACTGAGCGCAGTGTGCGTGACTATGGCTATTAAAAAGGCCTTACGATGTTAGAAGTAGATGATCCAGATCAAGCAGTTGTCTTTACATCTGAAGACCTGGGAAGCTCTGTTTATACTGGCTGCCCCATCAAACAGTCTAATTACTCGGTGTGGAATGTAAGGTGGTATAATGCGTATGCTAGAAATCAATAGCATGGACTGACTTTATAGCCTGTCTTGTCTTGGCCAAGATACAGGTGGAGGTGACTAAACTACCTATGAGTATCATGCCTTCCAACCCCACGCCCTAGTTGACAGTCTGGCCACCCTTCTCCTCCTTGCCCTCTACAGACTTGGCCATTCATTCCCTGCCATCCCGACTTGAACCCACTCTGCTCCAGGCACACTAGCCTCCTGCTGTTACTCAAGTATTTTGAGCATACATTATGGCCTTAAATGTCAACTCTGGAGGTCTTTAGGCTACTGTCTTTTTCTCTGTTTTATTCTTGCAGAATTAATGACCACTGACTTATTTCTCTTCCTCAAATTACGAGGTAAGATCTATCAATTGCACTTTCATGTTCACTTTTACAGTTCTTAAAACAATGCTGGACACATAGTATTTAATAAATACATATAAATGGGAATTTCTGTGTATAAAACAAAATCGCCAAAATGTCCCATTAACAAAAACTTTCAATTTTATGTATAAAGTATTATATGATCCTTCACAATAGTTCAGCCAAAGAAACCTCAAAATTTCCTTCTAAGTTGTGACAAAGGCCCAAGCCTCAATTTACCTAAATTATCAGAGAAGGTTTATAAACTAGATACTGACCTTCAGCAAATTTGTTCTCCAGCTCTGTGTTTCCGATGGCTTTTGCCGCTTGACACATCTGTCGAAGCAGCTCTTCCAGGCGCCTCATACAACGAATGATGCTGCCTGGACAGAAAAGGAATCAGTCAGTTACTTACTTGTGAATACAACCAGGAATAAATAGTAAAGCATTGGTCAGGATGCAAAGTGGCTGACTGGCTGTTACAGAAAAGGGTTAAATAATTAATGGTAGTAAAAACGTAGCCCAAGGATACATTGGCATGTTTTTAGAGGTGGGTAAACCAAAGGCCCTGGCTGTAAAGAGAGAACAGCTTGAAGAAGGTTGGCAAGCATAATGAGAAGTTTCTGGATATCTACCACATGCATGATCTGTGAAGAGAACAGGGTTAGCATGTTTCCTCAATGTCTTTACAGTGTGTTCTTAACAGGAGCGGAGATGAAACAAGCCCTCCACTATGGACTGCAAGTTCAGGACAAGTCTCTATCAAAGCTGAAGCTGTAGACTGTGCTACTTGTTAGACTTGTATCGGGAGAGAGTTGGCCTTTCTCCGAGTGACCAGACATTACAGTGAGATCTGGGAACATCACTGCAATGTACAGACTACATTAGGAGCATCATTTACCTTAAGCGCAAGCTGTAGGAAAGGTGGCCACTCTGACTGTGTAACACTCGACAGTTCATTGTTATGAAACTGACAAATGTTAACTGTGCTCAACAGCAAGGGTCTTCTTACTGCTTACACCCTCCACATTACTTTCCAGTGTGTCCATGTGGGATAAACAACTGAAATGCAACCCCAAACAGAATAAAAACAGGGAAGCGAGGTGTGGCGATGCACAGCTTTAGTCCCTCCCAGGACTCAAGGAGCATAACATGTGCCATGCAAGGGTACACAGTGAGACCCTGTCTCCAAACAGTTCAAACCCAAGACCTTCCATGAGAACTCTACTACTCAGCTAGATCCCCAAGTCCCAATAAATATCACTTAAAATGAGGATTTGTGTCACTTGAAAGAAGACAACTGTGTCATCTCTAATACATTTAATTTCTGTGAAGTTACTGGGCTCCTGGCGAAAAGCTTGCTAAATGGGTCAAAAGCAAACTCTAGTCAGTTCTTACTTACTCCTGTGATACAAGCCTCCACTAAGTGAGGGAGAAGAGACTTGGCTGATGGCCTAGCAGTCCATCATGGAGAAGTTATACCGGTGTGGTAGAGGGAGCGTGTGCCGTGTCATGACTTTGGTCCTGGGAACATGAAGGAGGCAAACTGAAGAAACACAAACATGCAGAATAGCTTGGGTTGGGTGGGCTGTGCTCTGATGGAGGGCAGCACTATGTAATCTGGAACCGGCTGTGTTTATTATGCACATGCATGGAGGCTGGTTGCAGCCAGTCATCTGGGAGGACGAAGCAGTGTGTTTGTTGTTGTCATTCCCCCCCCCCCCAACACACACTTGGCCAAACATCTGCAAAAGCATGTACGTGAACTGGAGGAAGGCTTTGCCCTCCCTTCCCCTGAGCGTGAGGCACCGTGACCTTTGGCATGGCTGTGCCCACGTCAGCAATACATGGTCACTCAGGACTTCCCGCACCCTCCACAAGCTTGCTCCCACCCATGTGGATCTGGGTGGCAGGACAGAGGGCGAGGAGGGCCAGAAGGAATCTCAATACCCTCTGTTCCTATAGGGCCTACAACGTCATAAAAAAGTAGCCGGATCTGGGGGCCAAATACATAAGCCTATACAGCATATTTTACATTCAAGGCATAAAAATGCCAGAATAGGCAAATTCCACAAACACAGACATTAAAACTAGATCAGAGTGAGAACTTGAGTCCCACATATATATGCATATCTTTCAAAAATCCTAAAAGCTTCCTTACATGTTGGAGGAGTAACCACTGCATAGAAGACAAGATAAAATCAGGATGAGTATATTTGAGGAAAGTTGGTGCTGTGCAACATTTCCTGTGCAGGCCTGGGGCTCTGTGTTTTATGGAGTGTTTATTAGGGTTTCACATCCATGAGGCAAGTAAGTACTATTGGTCCCTTAGTCTGCCTGAGGTAAAGAAGACAGTTCAGAACTCATATACCCAATCTGACCAAGGTCAGAGAGAGAATTCAGGCTTGGCTCACTGGGAAAAAAAGCACTCACGCCTGCCACCCAAGCTTGGAGGTCCAAATCTGATCCATGGAAGCCACAGAGGAATAAAAACATTGAGTTCTGAAAAATGTCCTTTTATCTCTACACGCATACCACAGCACACATAGAGTATTTGGGAGGAAAAAAGAATTCACTCTGATTAATACACATAAAATTATTTATCTGGGATTTTAAAAATAATTACATCACATTTTAAAGTCCTAAATTATACTTAATTCAGTTATACCCTTAAAAACTTTTCCTAGAAATAGTCAATGCTGGTAACACAAACAAAACCACCCCACAAAACGTACATTAGTACGTCAAGTTCTTCATTCTGCGTGCTTCATAGTCCTTAGCAGCAACAGTACTCTCCCTGAGGCGGCAGCACCGGCATGGTACAACTAAGCAACTGAGCAGGGCAGTGGCAGAGGGAAACTGCTCTTTCCTACAGATGTGACTGAGGGTAAAGACGACAGTGTCAATCCAGAGAAAGCATGGGGCCTCACTCCCATTAAATGCCCTAAGCTGTAAGATATGCACTATGCTAGTCTCAAAATGAGGCTACCCTCCTCAAGGAAACAGGTACAGCGCACATTTTTTCCACGATCATTAACCAAGGGTGGGTAGGTAATAAGCTCAGAAGTATGTGGCGCCCTCTTTTTGCTTGCTCAGGTACTGCTAACACAGGGTGCCGTACATCCATAAAAGCAAAAACAAATTTAAAAAAACCAGAAAGCAGGTTTATATGCTACAACAGCAGTAGGAAGGATATGATTTTAGGAGGGTGACAAGCATTAAAGGTCCTCGGGAGTCAGAAACAGAAG